CCAACCCACAGTCACACCGGAGGCAATTCTTAATCCGTCGGTCCATTTCACACACCCCCACGAGCACGCGTGGATAATAGTGCAAGCCGAATTCTTGTTGACCGAAGTCTGTAGGTGTCGTCGCGTGGGCGCGAGGTCCCTCCAAATGTCAAGCAGGTCCATCATCAAAGGCCCATTTCTTGTGGCAACTGGGCACTCGCCGTGACATCATCGAAAAGTGCGTGTGGAAATGTGAAAAGCTGTAAATTTTTGTGGCAAACAACCTTCACAGGCAATAATCACCATTTTGTGTTTCTGTGTGTGTGAAAAAAAGTGGCCATTGTGGTCTTCGTAAATAGGATTGCTTCAGTGTTCTATTCTATAAATGTGGCTGATTGGACAATTATCACTCGGTTTTGTTTTAACCTGTCTTTTGTTTATCATGTCCGGCCGAATTGATGTTAATTTTAGCGCCAGAATCACACTCTAATTCCCTGCAGAAACACAAGAGGAAGTGACCGAAATGCCTCATCCACAATCATCGAATCGCCAATGAGCATCCACTCAAGTGTCTTTGTGTGGCAGTTTGATTACAGAATACGAGTCATCACAAGATTGCCGCGTGGAAATCATTGCCAGTGGAATCCGCTGTCTGATATGTTAACTGGATGCAAGGAATGATTAAATCGGCTGTACTAACGAATCATCTCTTGGTGTTGCCGCATGCTTACTGACGTCGCCGACGAAGATTTATCAAATTCAATCCTTGAAGTAAGCTTATGTTACTTGCGAAAAGATCGCTTCCACGATTTCTACGCTCTCACATCCACGTCGGCGAAGATTTCGATGGTGAGAGGCAGCAGTGCCTAGTTGAACCACACTAACAAAGTCCCTAATCCACCTACTTGCATCTCACCAACCTCTAAACATTTGCAACGAGAGCTGGCTGCCCCTGTGATGCTACCTGCACAACGTGTACAAAAATCGGTTTGTCAGAATCCGTGGTACCGCTGAAACGGGAGAATGACCTGGGTTTTTGGGGGTGCCATAGAAACGCACGACTTTAGTGTTAGTATTTAAACAAACGTTTGGTGTCAGTTTATCAAGTTGGGTTTAAATTCAGACAGTCTACGGTACGTTCCCACCACTCACACATTTTGCAACTAGAACCACTGTACAAGGAAATTCAAACAAGTCTTCACCAATGATCATGCAATTTACCACAAAGCGGAAATTGTCATGCTGTCTATTCATTTCTCCCACAAACAGCCAATCACCGCAAAGGGTGTGGCAAAGCCAGGCACCTGATTGGCTGCTGACAAGATCCTCAGCAGTGACTGGCAAAGTCACTAGCCGATCAGGTGAAAGCCGGCGTGCGCGCGAGTGTGGGCCACCAGCAGATAGGAAATCTCTGCAGCTGAGTAGAGAAGAAGGGTGAGAGCGAGAGAGCGAGAGATTGAGTGCGATACAGACGTACAGACAGTGCAGCCTAACGCTGTCTCGACTTCCACCAGCGAAACGCATGCTGTCCGGTGTTTATTGCGGCTACTAGCAACATGACAGACGGCGGTGGCGTTGGCGGATCCCTTCTGAGGCAGGTGTCCACAATCCGACATCGACAGAGTCGGATCGGATCGATGGTGGGTGAATCGACCGCCAGCACCGTGCACTCCCCTCACGCCCTACAAACCGGCGCTTCGATGAGACGAGCTTCCCAAATCCACCGAGTTCACGGAGAAATCGAATTCACCGGACTTAACCAGACCGCCAGGGCAAGTTTTTCATCCCTCAAATTCCTGTCTCATTTTTTTAATGGAAGTTAACAAGTCATATCTGCTTTAGGCTTGATTTGCTTTTTGGGAAATCTTTGCAGTTGTGCTGTCGTGCTGGCAAAACATGCATAAATCTTTGTTATCTTCGAGGGTTCAGTCAAAACATGTGTCAATTTCTTATTTACCGTTTCCTCTTTACAACATCATCGTGTTTATTGCATGAGGGAGACAAAATATAGATTTTGTAAAACAAAATATTTTACATAATGTACATTTTAAGAAAAAAAATATTTTTATTATCCATTAAATTCATTTTTAATTTTTAGTGCGACCACTCATCAATCACTTGCACTTACGGCTATTTAAAAAAAACCACGATTTTTTGTGTTATTTTACTTGTAATCGGCATGTGTTTTTAGTGCATTGTGAAAATTTTAAATTACAACCGAGCGTACACCGTAAATTCCTGAATTCCAAATTTGTGTGCAGGAAAATAATCGTTTTGCCTAATGACGTTAGTACGGTTCACAGAAATGGAATTGGAGCTGTACAGAATTAAGGGATTTATCCAGCTTCTCAGCCAGTCGATACTACTTAAATTGGGTTTCAGTAGTGACATTGACTAGGCCATCATCAAAATCAGTGGGTCAACATTGAGTAATGTCGTCAGTCTAGCTCCTACCACATTGCACTGCTCACACATCCTACCACTCACAGTTTAACAGTACTATTAGGCACACCTTAAACACACTTTTACGTGGCATCTGCTTGCCTCTAGTTTGCCAAGCTGTCGCCTTACATGACGGACAGTGCAATCCGAGACCTCCTGCAGCGTCGATGGGGTCTTAAACCACCCACGTTGATCATAACCGTTTTTGGTACGGATTTCGAGAAAAAACGCAAGCTGAAGATGATCTTCAAAAAGGGACTCTGGAAAGCCGCCGACAGTGGTAAGTGGTGGTGACACCGAAATATTTTGCTTGGTTTCGCCAATGATACTTATATTAATAATTTAGTAATTATGAACATCTCCAACACAGCGGTAGCTCCATAAGTCTGTGGTCTTTTAATCGTTCCACGAAGTTGAGAGACAGGGCTAGTGGAAATTGCGGATGTTTTGTGTGCAAGAAGTCTGTGTAAATCAATAACTTGACCGAAATCGATGACGGGCTTCCTCAGCTTTCGAATGAAGCACGTTATCATGTTGTAACTACCTAGATGCCTTGGTCACGACGCTAGTTCCTTGTGCGTTTCGTCCAGTCAAATTGGTATGCCACGACGTTGTTTATAGTCGTTGACATTTGTCGTAATCTCCCGTTTACCTGCTCTGTTTGCACATGGAATGGTTCCTGGGAAAGTGGCAATATGCAATGTCGGCGACAATGATGTCTCGCATTCCACTCCACACATCACCAACACCTCGTTTCATAATGCGTTAGTGATAAGGATGAATTGCGTGCGTCGCAAAAACGTTAATAAATTATCCTCACACTGGTGACAACCCATGGCTGGTCTTGAATGAAATATTAGTTTAGTAAAACAACGGCCTTATAAAAGTTTTGTGGACAGAAGTCGTGAAAAGTCAACTCATCGTCGATATACAAATATCCACCAATCAAATTCACGAGAAAGTAACTAGTAGCCAATGAGAATAACACTCATGGCAATCGATCGCCTGCACGGTCAGATGGTGCGTGGTACTTGGCGTGGCAATCGATCGAATGTGCCTGAATTTGCCACTCTTTTGGAAACTCGTTGACATTTCTGATGAACTCTGACGCAGTCAATAAGTTTTGATCGAATTATTTACGGGAAGATTGACGTAGAATTCCGTGTGCACCGTTTAAATTAACCCGCAAATGTCTTGTTTGTTTTCCAGGATGCTGGATAGTAACAGGAGGATTTCAGTTGGGAATAATGAAACTAGCTGGTGAAGCAGTTCGCGACTACACGGATGCCTACGGCGGAAATAGGATGCTGGCTTTTGGCATCTCCAGTTGGGGATGTGTCAAAAAGAACGACATTCTTGAGGCCGCACTGGAGGAGGTCTGTTCCTCATTTTTTTAAATTCCCTTTTTTAAATCTTACGCGCTATTTCCAGATTAAAAAAGGCAAACAATATTTACTGACTGACATCGGCACCCTGGTAGAAGTTTGCGTTTAAAAAGCGACCGGCAATTTTTAAAATGAATCACGACACTTCGGTCAAGACGCGCAATGTTCAAAGTCAGCGATGAGAGATCGACCCCCATTGGTTGACTAAATTAGGCAGCGACATCATTTTAGTTGCACGTGTGAAATCCGCCCACTTAGTGCTAGCTGGTTTGTCTATTTGCACACATCATCAAATCTACTACGTGGCAGGGTATTTTAATGCAAAATTATGCACTGAAGATATGGTGACAGATTTGGTAAATCATGACAGTTTTTGCAGGCGTACTGGACAATACGGTCATATCAAGTACCAACCAGTGACCAATCAAAATCGGGGTCTACTGGCACAGTTTTCAAACTGACCAATGGGCATCTGACAAAGTCGATGTCAAGTCTCCTCTGTGCTAGCGCTTAGCTTCCCACGAAACTCCTAGGTCGACCAATGTTTTTTTAACGAATCGATCAAACCACATGCCACAGAAGGACAAGTTTCTTTAGTACAATTTCTGATTCTCAAACACACACTTTCAAACCGCGCGTGCAGGCGCATCAGACTTGTACAGCTACTCGGCGCCACCAACGATTTAGACTAGAAATTTCGCAAGGCATAAATCGACTAATTCTAAGTTTGTCTAGGTCATAAAAATGAAACGCAACTCATATTTTATTCTTCTTAATCTGGTCCCTTCTTCATGGCATGAACAAATTTAGATAACAATTCAAATGGTTTAATGTGCTGACTTGGTTTAAATGCTATGCGTTTTGTCGAAATGGGTTATTGTTCTATGGGCAATTTAGTAATAATCAATTGGGGCGAATTTGGACCAATCAAATTCACGCCCAAGTAACTTCTGGCCAATGAGAATTAAGTTCGTGGTGATTGATGCGTTTTGTAGTTGTCAATCGTTTACTGGTTTGTGGTTGCAGGGTTGCTTTTGTCTCACTGTGTAGATTAGTATGGACACGATATTACTTAATAAGGCACTAGTAGCATCAACTGGATTAACATGCACTTCGGCAGGTACGTGTGCATGTACCAGGACAGAAATGAACCACAAGTGGGGCACTTAGAGCCCCTGATTTGATTGGTGATCTGTAATTTGCTGGAAAAGAAGCGCGACATTCAAAATCTGGCATGCCTGATGCGATCATGATTTAATTACGCAGTAGTGTTGGCGCGTTTTAAAAGAACATCAATTTGGCTGATTCTGGCTTTTAAATTCCAGGATTAAGCGAGGATTGAGATAGTTTGATGCTTAATTCAGAAATAGGGAAAAAATGTATTTCTGGAATTTTCTTGAATTTAAGTTTGCGAATTAAATCAATTGGATAACGTCTATGGTAGCGGTAGATGAAGCCCGTGTGAATTTGGCAAATCTGCTGACATGCGTTTGTTTGTGTGTGGCAATTTGTATCATAAACCTATGCAAATGTACTGCTTGTAAACAAGTCAAAATGATGTATTATTGGCGAACACTATTTGATTGGCTGAGCCTCACAGCAAGGTGATTGGCTTAATTCAAATATCTCTTCTTCACTGCCACACCATGCTTTGGATGTACCAAGAATACGTAAATAAGTAATTTTTAGAAAAAATACCCAATTGCTCTAAACAAACGAACCTTGTCATACGCGGAAAACTACAAAAAATTCCACGTAGTACTGATTTAATTTTGAGTAGGTGCGGGGATGAATCCGTCTCCTTGGTGTTAAACGAAGCGAAGTGGATTACAGTAAGTAGCGAATATTCCCAGGCCCCAAATAACAATTACCTATTGTTGGGCAACCACTCACTCTGCCTCCTGTTTATGCTTCATCGTTGGCACAAAGTCGACATAAATATTTAATCAGATCCACTTCCTTGCTTGGGAGCAATTTGCATGCGCGCCCAAGGCGACTTCAGCCAATCAAGGTTTGCTCCTTGCCTCGACGGCGTTTCTGATTGTACAGAGGCTGATCGCCCATAGCGAAATGACACCTCACCCGATTTTAGTCTTTCTGCGATCGAGGTTATTGTTCTCCTAGTTCATTTTTCCCGCTGATCTCTAAATATGTTAGTCGCTTAAATGGAGCGCTTTTGTTTTAAAAGTCAATTCGGTAAAGTGTGTTTAATGTTGTAAGACCTTCACTCATTTCGAGTCTACTGAAAGTAAGTATTTCTTGCAGGGAACCGCAGTCTACCAATCAGAAGAGGACAAGGACTCGGACGCAGAGCAGAGTTCCACGACAGAGACCGCCACGGCCAACGCCACCACAGCGAGCAGCTTGAAGCGAACAGATGTGGAGGAGTTGGCGCTCGATCCGAATCACAACTACTTTATTTTCGCGGACACCGCGAAAACCGATCACACGAAGGGTCGTGAGGCGGAGGTGCGAGCGCGCTTTGAACGCTGCATCTCCCTGTGGAGCACCTCCACGCCCGAAACGGAGCCCCCGCTGTCAGCGAATCGGCCCTCGCAGAGCGGTGGAGTCCGCAGCACCTCGGTGACGGCTGCCGAGCCCCTGGAAGACTACGCAACCACCCTCAAACGCAAGTCAACCATCAAACGGCAGACTAGCGAGAAGACTGAAAGGCGTCCGCTTTCACGGTCAAGCTCAAAGTTTAAGGGCGGGAGCAGCGGTGGCGGTGCGGGTGGTGGAGGGGGCAGTGGAGGGGGAGCCGACGGGTCTGGTGAGGACGTGAGGATACCCATGTGCGGACTGGTGATTGGAGGAGATCGATTTACGCTGCGTCAGGTCTACTGTTCCATCATGCAGAACCAATGTCCGATGGTTGTGGCCAAGGTATCTTTCTTTTAGGTGGACTTTCTCGCCTTATTAGTCAAAATGTACCTTGAAATTGTATAAATTAACAATTTTGTAGTCAATAGCTGCAGGTAGTTGTTTAGACTAAATGCTCTTTATGTGGTTGATTTGGTTTAACTTGCTAAACAATGTGTCTGAGAGTTACCATTGGTTATCGTGCGGCGTGATAATTAATAAATTCTCGCGTTTTTGTGGTCGGCATCGAAGTTGCAACCACAAGAGCCTCACGTTCAAGCATGTTTTTTTCTAACAAATTGGTCGGTAAACCAGAATAATTGTCAGGTTAATCGTGGTGATTATTGACCGTATTTAGGAATTACGTCTGGCTGCATTAAGTTCTTGCTCTTGTTAGTATTCTCACCACACGTGAATTCGCAAACTTCGTGGTTTGAAAAAAATTCAATAAGAAGAAGCAAAAATTCAGAAAACCACTACCTCAGATATCTTGTCTGAACCTGCAGCCCACCTTCCAAGATCTCGCGCAGAGAGGTTTAACTGTCTCACACAAAGACTGAATGATCTGTCAGAATGCGCTCACTTATTTAAACAAAGGATGACCTTGACGCGATGGATGAAGACGGATTAACACAGATCGGACTGCCAGTAGGGTGTCGTGGCATGTCGGCTTATCTAGACGGCTTCAAAATTGCCCATTTCACGCTTTCGATCTGAACTGGCTGCTCGTTGCAAAACTCAGAAACTCTCGTTTCACATTACCCAACAAACAATTGGAGTAAATTAGAAATTTATAAATCTGTGTATTATAAGTCAGGGTTTGTTCTCTCCACGCTCCTGACAAATCAGATCCCCAAAAATATTGACTTTTTTCAATCAGTGTGATCTTGGATTGCATTCAATCAGCGATGCAGCCGTCATTTGTCAATTCTCCACATCCCAAACACCCCGTTTTGGTAACGTGGCCTACATTACAGCTAGTTTTCGCAGCACTTATCTACTATGCCAGTATTCTTATCTGCTGGTTCCTTGTTTTTTTCATGGTTCCTGCCGTATTTTTACGCTGTAACTGATCCACTGCATCGACGTACACTACGTTGCCACTTTACCGTGGAGTTGTTACAAAAATTATGGCTTTTTTTGAGGGGAATATTTCAAGAATAGTTTTATGAAAATTGATGTTTGGAACTAGTGCTTTGGGTGGGTATTTACCTCATAAATGCACTAACTCCACACTCACACTACCACTCCTCAATTCTTAAAATGCGCAAGACGTCACTGAATATGCGCTTATGTTGACTGGAAAAATCTCGTTCGTAGTGTCTGGAGTTGGGATCGCATAAAAGGCGACAGGTTGCCAAGCGACGCAAAGAGACTCAACAATGTGGACTTAAAATCCGTGACCTTGGTTGTGCCAATAGGATCGAGGCGCTCAATATGAACGTAGCAAATTGTGCGTAGAAAGGAATGGGAGTAAGAAAGATGATTTTGTCAAGTTAACTCAATAACGCACTGTAAGTCCTATTTTACCCTAACTAACTAAATAACTGCATGTGAGGCTAAGCAGGCGTAAATTGCAGCTAAATATTGATCACAATTTTGCAACCCGATCACAGATCCTGTCTTCGCTAGTCGATATGTTCTAAATGGCAACTCAGCCGCCTCTGGAATCACGATAATGAAAATTCATCCGTCAGTGATGCTTGAACATTGCGATATGAAACAGACATCCAGATTGTTAATTGTATCGCAAGGTCATCGTTTTGTGCAAGAGTGGTTGCTAAGGTGATCGGATATTAAATTTCACCATGAACTTTAGCAAAAAAACTGTCAATTCGGTGCTTTAGGCATATCCGTCTTTAACCAATCAAATCCGACCGTAACAGTCCTGATAGCAACCTTATAAAAACTCAAAATGTCTAGCATGTTCAGTGCGTCTATGAAAAGCTCTGACAAAATCGCTTGCAGCACCTTCTTAAACTGTTTCCTTCTAAAGGGGACTTCAGGCGCAGCCGATGTCATTGCGTTCGGTCTTGAGGCAGCCACGAAGATGGAAACGGAGGAGATTTTGGAAGACAAAGAGGCCATTTCCCTGGAAACTAGGTGAGTCTCCTCCACAGTTCTATCACACCAATTCGCCAGATGCTTTGAGATGACAGCAAACGCCGGTAGTGTATCGATTGACGATTTGTTGTCTTAATTACACTCTGTTTTCCGAAATTGCGTAGGCTTTGATTCCAGGTATCTCGGAACTAGCCAATAGTAACACAAGTAGCCAAAATTAGCTCTCGCCTATTGGCCAGTACAGCATGATCAAATGATATAAAAAGAAAATCGATTTCTGAGTCACTTTGTCGGTTGTCTGTTAGACTGACCTCAGTGATGGAGCAGTTTCTGCGGGAAATGCACCCAGATTACTACAATTTCGCTGAGGAGGTCTCAATGTTGCTAGAAATAATCACGGACTACGTCTCCTTGGTGCTTGTATTCGACATGGAAGAAGACGCTGACCTTGACGGATACATGATCTCCTCGCTATTGGCCAGTGGTGAGCTGACTTAATCCATTTCACCTCTTTCAAAAGATCACCAATTTAGTCCGCAATACCATTAATTTGTGGGACTTTTACGTAACCTGTTTGCGGTCATTGATTAAATAATCTAAACTACTAAAATCTGCCAATCTCAGTCAGTGAGGCAGGATGAAGGCCAGGCTGTGCACCACACAGCCAACCACACGTACACGCACAAACACCGATCACCAATGCGTGTACCAATGCTGTCACCAACTTCAGCCATGTCACAGTCGTGCTAGACCAGTTCCTAGTACTAAAATCACCTCCGAATGTACGGTTGTGTGGCGAAAACACAGTTCGAGTTATTCACAGCACCAACACAACAGGAGCTATTCAAAGCCCACGACACGAAAATGAGAAATTAGGTAACTTTTTAATCCTCTGTTTAAGCGGGAACATCTACGCCACCGGACCAACTGAACCTCGAGCAACTAGAGATCACGTTGACGCTGAATCGGGCTGACATAGCCAGGGAGAAGATATTTCTAGAGAACAAGCGCTGGAAGGTAAAGTTCTAGACGTCCAAATATGTCATTTCTTCATTGCAGAAAGGCCAGCTAAATGACTACATGTATCAGGCGCTGATGGGAGATCGACACGATTTTGTGAAGATCTTTCTTGAACAGGGCTTCAGCCTTGAGGAATTCCTTACAGTCTATATGCTAGAGCGGCTCTACACGGATCAGTTGAAAAATATGGTGAGATGTGGGCTTTCCATCCCTAACCCCTGTCCTTATCTAGAGCTCCAAGGTTGCAATTTTCAACAAAATGTGGGAGTACCATCGCTCACACCGAGTAAGTGCTGCCTTCCACTGCTTAATGGGCCTGAAATTATTGGTCAATTGTGGCCAATCACGATTGAGCGACTGTGATTACTCTCGCGCTAATTGATCATGTTGCTGTTGTTGTTGTTGGGGCAAATCGCATTACTAAACGACACAGGGAACAAAACATTCAGTCAAGCGTCCACTCATGATTGGCGTGTGTCAGGCTGCATAAATATGCAAAAGGTCACGTCCTGTGCCACTGTGCTCATATTGCTCTTGATTAATTAGACGAAGTCTGACAAGCTGTTAGTACATTCTTCACTCGACGTTATGTGTCAACTCTCAATGCAAAACCAGCACAAGTAAGACGCTCCCAGCGGTTATTCGCCCTAACTAGTTTAAACAAAATTAAAAATTTCCTGCAGATGAGGCTTATTTTCTCGGCCTTCTCATTGGCCCCTCTTTCTGCGCAATTTTTTTACTGAATTAAGTGTTATTTATTGGATAATCATGGCGGTGAATTTAAATATCGTGCTGATATCGCTTGATTCCTTTAAAGATTACGCGTTGTGAAGAATGACTTACTTACGAATTTTGGCCCAATCGCTATTCCCACAAAATTTGGCACAAAATCCCCTACATTTTCTCATTCCCTTTCCAGTCTGAGTTGAATCTTGAGGGAACATAAATTTGGGCTAATTTTTATCGCTTCAGTTGCAGAAATTTTCACACAAGTCAAACGCCCTCAAAATTTCAAATGATTTCCACAGAAATAGGCGGAATTTGACGGCAAAAATCAATTATTCTGGCTAGACTAACGATGCAATTTTCATTTACCGATATTTCGGTTAGAGTTTCCTTGTGATTTGGCCAATCAGGTTCTAACGTTTTTTTATTGTTATCTCAAAATAAAGCAAGCCTCAAAGGTTACGCTGCGCGACGTTGGCAAGGTGATTAAATCTCTCGTCGGTGACTTCTATCATCCTCTTTACTTGAGCAAGGAATTCCAACAAAAACTGGCCCCCGAAAAACCGGATTTGGCGGGTAAGACGCGATTGGACGATTGCTTGGCGGAAAATTCAATCGATGGCGCGAAATTTAAAATAATCGATAGCGCAGCTAATTTGCAGTCCAGAGTGTACGTGCTCAAAGTATTGTGATTTTTACAATAGACGAAATAGCTTGCGATGTTTTTGTCTCTAAGAAGAGCTGCTTTTGCCTCATTAGTCTTAAAAACAAGAACTTCTTGGCGCGAGTTGTCTCTCTTGTGGGTTTGACAGTCTTTAGCATTACCAACAAAGCACAGCTTTTTTAACCCTTTTGTCAGGCAAAAACAGGGTTTGGTTTGCGTTTTTTTTAACACGCCTGCCTTTACGATGCTGTTTGTGCTGCATAGAGTCATTTTAGACACACTTAGAACCCCGAGCCAATGAAAACGCGTAAAAGGGGACCAAGGAAAGGCTTAAATTTCAGGGCTTAAGCAAATGCGTGTCTAACATTGTCGATTTAATTGAGTTACTATTTTGCATTGTCGTTTGTTCAATTTAGAGCAGGGTAAGTTGGCATTACACAACAACCACAACAAATACATTGGGCGATTTGGCGCGTAAAACGACTGCTTTCTGTGTCAAGCATCATCCAACATGGAGTTTGCCAATAAAACCCGTCTACATGGAACAATTTATTTGTTTAAATGCATGCACACAGCATGGCGGGCGCTCACATCAAAAACAACCCCAAAATCCGTATTTTTTCCGTGTTCATCGTGATCATAAAATCCTCAGTGGTAGGTTCGCCAAAATATCTGCCTTATTTTCAGTAGTTTTATCGTATAAGCTCATTATAACCGCAATTTTTCCCATCCAACTAATGTTAAATGGCTGCTTTATTTTAGCCATCTGTAAGTCACTAGCGCTCGTAATGGCTAATTTTGTTATGCATTCCGGCGTTTTGCCATCGCTGCCTCTGTCACTTGCTGGATGCTGGTATTCCGAAACAAACTCCCACTTAAAACGAAATTCTGACCCATTTTTTTACGCAAAATGCAGTGACCGCGTGTAAGTTTACCAATTACAGCATTCGAGCAGCCTTTGGTTTTTAAAGCACACCACTGCATCCTAGCTTGCCGTTATTCTGCAACAGCAGTCGACGCTACGCATCTTGGAATGCCCTGACCCCTAGGTCTAACTTCTTTCGCGAAAAAAATCCATAAAACAAAGTTGAATGTGCCAAAATCGATACCCAGTGACATGCTTTGATCGATTTTAACGGGTGCTGAGTGTGTCCGAATTAACGAAATGGCATGTAAGGGATTAATTAACTATTTATGTGAGATGGCCCCACTATTTATGTGCTGGCTTCTGCGGCCGTTTCTCTCTGCAAGAATGTTTGACTCAAATATCAGTCGATTTCAAGTGACAGGTGAGTGCTGGTGCAACTTTATCTGCTAAAACTCAGACAAACACCAATTTAGGTATTTGAGTTCTGCAACTTTGATTGGACGAGGCGTGACCTTCATGTGAACACACCTCACGATAACATCGGTCACTTGAAAGTTGAATAAAACAAGCTGGTAAAGGATCCAATTTTTCATCGGCAAAATCAGTGCCCAATACGGTTGTCTTGTCTAAATCGCCAGCTGGATTTCCATGCAAGACAGCGCGACGGTGGGAATACCATCAGTAATTTGCGTCACAGTGCCAACCAAACATCCCCAAAGCAGGCAAACGTATTTGTCTTTTATCCTAGAACAACCACAGTACGCGTTATCACCTCCTTTACTTTAACAGTCACGTGATTTGCAACTGAAATTGGTGAGACGCAACACGACAGACGCCACAGTTTGCTAGTTGCGTAAACTCATTCGCCGAATGCTGGCAACTGTCGACCATGAACAGGGTTTGGACGTTTATAGCTCGTCTTTTGGCCGTGTCACTTCCACTAATTGGGTGACAGACTAAGTCCATCTGCTAACCAGCATATCTTCCAGTACTCAGCCTTGTTCCACGACACGGGTACAGCCCCTTTGGGAGTTGTTAGGCTAGTTATGCGAGTCAAAATCTAGGACAATGGGTGTTTGTGTGTACTGGAAATCCCAGCATCGGCTGTCCCCAGGGATCTGTGATGGCTGGTCGGTTCATTTTATGGCCTTCATTCTGTCATTTCCGCACATCGCGAGGCGTTCGGTAAATGCCACCCCCTCTCTTCACCCAAGACTGACAGAAATCACGACATTTTGGAACATTTCACACCAACCAATAGCATTCAGAATAGGTTTTTTGTCAATGTCGAATTGGGGCAGTTTCAATTGGCCTATTTCACAAACCCGGGTTGTCGGTGGGTAAGCGATCCCCTCTCATTATTTGCACCTCGCGTCATTGTTGTCTACGGTTTGTTTAAATTTGCATCTGCATCAGACCGGCCATTCTGTGCATGCCTTGAAGCAGTCGTTTTTGCTGTGGCCTCAAGTCGGTTTCCGCTTTACCACAAAGTTGTTTTTTTATCTGCTTTCACAAACAACAGCAGTTCTCCCTATGAAATTCCATAAGCCCCAGAATCACAATCGACGACCCGATGGTGGTGGTGGAGGTGGTGGTGGTGGCGTTGTTAACTCCAGAAATCATCGTGAAGGTGGGTGTTATCGGGACGGCGATCAACTGACGAAGACGTCGACGTCGGCGTATGACGCAGCAAACAGATTCAAGTCGATAACGATTTGCCCCAACGTCCTGGGTCTCCACGAGCCTGTCTCCTTCATCGATTACATCGACGAACGTAAGAAAATTTGGGGAACAGTCACTTCCACTCAGCGAGGACGCATGAGCCCCTCTAGTGCTCTCTCTCTTCCTCCCATCGTCTCTGCATGCAGTCCGTTTGAGCATGTATGCGGCTTTGCGCTGTCTGCCGTTCCATTCCGAGTTTATCAATCTTACTGGCACTATTTAGACTAAAACCACCAATCAACTTGGCCAAATGCCTTGTCAGTAAGATCGATAACCTCTAACCATCGAATCACGATCAGGTGAACCGTCTGGTAGTGCAATAAGCGAGCATGAGCATGATTAGCGACCCAAACGAGATCCCGTGTGCAGGCCCTCATGAACCTCTCTTGTTAGATCCCAAGGTCAAGTACAAGGCGGCACCAGCGTTGAAGCAGGACAGCAAGAGCGTCGAGAACTATCAGGGTTTGCTGCGAGAAACTTCACCCTCTCAACTGCTTTTTACTCCACCGAAAGACGACGAAGTTGGAGACGAAAGAACGCCGACATTAGACACCGGCGACAACGTCTCGCCTGCAGACATCAAACGCAGCTCCACGAAGACAACAACGCTGAGTCTGGAGCAGAAAACCGTGCTGGGCGAGGCGACCCCGATGATTGGGTCTGGAGACACGCAGAGCTGGGCTGAACGTCAGGCCTGCCGTCAGGACTCTGTTCCCTCGGAAGGCGAGTACGAGGTCGAAGAGACCAAATCAAAAAAGAGCCGATTCTCCGTCACGCACATCGGATTCGGTAGGCTGTGCAATGTAACACCATTAAGTTGGTTTGTGTGTCAAGGTTTTGAATGGTCAATAACCAATATCATGATGCATAATTGCTGTCAATAATACCAATTCGATTTTCCAAAAACGCAGCACCGATTTTGACAAGCATTTATCCCCTCCATAGTTGTCTTTTCTTGATTCCGCTTAGCCGCCTCTGATGCTTCCTGTCCGATTCCTTGAACTGATATGGCGAGCATTCAACGTGTCTAGCAAGTAAAAGATTGTCTCCTGTGGTGATTGGATTATTTGTTCATTGTAGCACATCTTCAAAGAGTAGACAAAATCACGCACATTTAATTTAAAGAGTGAAAATTAGATTGTAGAGTGGGCTTTATTTTCTGGTTTTTCCATCTTTTGAACCCTGTCTCATTAAAAAAAAATGACTTTAAATGGCCAAAGTTGAGAGCAACATTTTGTCAAAACGACCACTTCTATCTCGTTTCGGTAGAAATTGCTGCTACAGCGTTGAATACTTCAACACAACGTGGTACACTATCTTTGAATGCTTTATCTCGTTAGTCTTCATCACTTTAAAGTCAAATTGACCCTCACCAATTCTAGTCCTTCGGCGGAAGGTCTTGGTGAGCTTGAACTACCAACACTTGGTAGAACAAGTCAACGACTATCTTCCACACCCTGCGTTTAAATCCATCTAAAATGAACCCCAATTGGAGTGCATTTTTGGCGAAACCCGTACGCTTGCTTTGCGTGTTATTGACCGCAAGGGGTACCGCAATTAAGACAAAGGATTTAACGCCAAAATTCCTCTCCGTCGTGCTATTTTTTCCACCAGTTGCGCTGACACGTGGTTTTGTGGTGTTTAACGCCAGTGCTTTTTTTGGAAAGTGTCGCCACGTCTTATTTTTTACGTATTTTACAAGTTTATGCGAAGGGTTACAAGTTATCGCGCCAAGGGGTGTAGGGGTACAGCAACCTCTTAATTATAATACACTTATGCCTATTTAGATAAAGTGCGATACGGACGTCACCAGAAACGTCGACTGTCATTCGAGAAGATGAAGGCCATCCAAGTAGCGTCGGGACGAGGACAGCACTATGGCAACCCGAATTTCATTGGCCGGCAACATGTGGTGCTGCCCCACACCACTGCGGCAGCACCATTGGCTGTTCACGAGCAGTCGTCGCGTCCAGCTCCCCTGATGTTCCGCGAAAGCTCCATAGAATCGACCTACGAGTCCCAGCACGCCCAACAGCAGTCCATTTCGGGGGAAGAGGAGGACGAGGATGATGACGATGATGATGAGGAGGAGGAAGTGGGTCTCGGTGGGCACCTAAAGCGTCGACTCATTGAAGTACTTCGACGAGGCACAGCCAAGGAAAACGAGAGTGGCCATTTTGAGGGTCTTCTGCCCGGCAATCTCCAGACGCTGAAGGCGGTGGCTGCCTTGGCGGCTGTTGCTGGAGGCATGGGCGGTGGTGGCGGTCCTACGGACCCAGACAAGACTGCAGCTAATGGTACGCGTTTTTTTGCTTCTAACTTGCAGATTCTCTGGAATGGATGCAGAAGTTCTGTTGTAGGGGTAGTCTATAAACGCACCGATGCGATTTTTTTTTCCTGAAACTGTCTTTTTGTGAAAATTCAAACCAATTACAGTTGAAACAAATTTAACTGCAATGTTAGCAACACTGCACATGCAATTGATTGCGAATGAAATTTAAATATCACACACATGCTTACTATCAAGAAATTACTCATTCGACTCGTCTGTTGTGAGTATTTGGGCTTGTGAGGTGCGTGACCTTGGGGAAGAGAGAAGGCTGCATGACCCCAATTCAAACCCTGGAGACGTGATCCCATTAAAAACAACTTCACGACTATTTTGCCACACTGGGGGGTCTGAGATATTTTGGCTAATTGTTTCCACTAAAATCGATTTCCCTGAGCATAAATTGTGGCTTTGCTAAATCTCAATCTTTAATTGGTTAATTTCACAGAGCCCGATTCCCATTGGGCCACAATACCAATCAGGAGTTTTTAACCCAGCACAGCTTAATCTAAGCTATGCGTCGCTATTGTGGTAACATATTGATTTAAAAATCAATATATAAATAATGAATGAGTTTTTTAAACGCACCAGTCAACTAAACGGAAAATCTTTGAAAAATGCAACGTGTCGATTTAAATGTACATTTTTTGTTTCTCAAGAAGACATAAAAGTTGTCTTTTTTGCAAGAACAGCGAAAAAATAAGATCAAATTTACCAATTCCAGAGGAGGCACGAATCAAACTTATTCAGTTTGACAGACCAGCTCGTGAGCTACTAATTTGGTCTGTTCTCGTGGGGAAGCTGCGCATGTCCGAGTTATTCTGGACAATGGAGAAGGTACGTGACTACGGAATCATAAATTATTCTTCAGTGCACTTATTGCATATAAATAATTTTGTTTAAATTTACTCCTACTAGGAGCCAATAGCAGCAGCTCTTCTGGCTTCAATTCTTCTTTCCGCGCTCAGCAACAAAACAGACGATTTTACGGACAAAGAGGACTACAAGAACTACTCAAAGTTAGTCTTGTGTGAATTTTCACTACAACCACACACACACACACACGCAAAACGCGCTTTCTTCCAACTCAAGCAAAAAATAATTTCTCGTGGCAATAAATCACACTTTGTTGGTTTTAACGCATCAAGAACCCTTGAAACGCTTAAAGGAAGGAAACACAACATAACGTTTTAAAAAAAGCCTTTTTAGGCAAAAAGATGAAGAATTTTTTTGACTGAGACGCTGACAAGCCATTGTCTTTGATTAGCTGGAATTAAGTAAAACGTGGTGCCACTCTAAGCCGCATCACTGCGCCGTAAATTAGTGCCAATTTTCGTGCAATTTGATTGGTCATTCAAGAATGAATCAATAAAGTTAATTAACTAAAACAAATGTCAAATTTGTCAAAGGTTTTTATTAAAATGCTACTTTACAGAATATTGTGTGTTATTTTAAATTGAAGTTTACTATTTATATTCATGTGTATTAGTGTATTTTTTAATTTCATTGAAGCATTTTTTTGCAAATCATTTTTACTTCTGATAAACATTTCGCAATTTGCTGCCGCATAAGTAGTATATGCGTTTTTTGATTTTGTGCGTGAAATAGAAGCTTCCAGGAGAAGGCGGAGGGCGTGCTCAACGAGTGTTACCGTGAGGACGAGCACCGAGCCCAGCTGATCATCAACCACGAGCTCGCCTACTACGGACACAGCTCGGTCATCAAGCTGGCCGCCGAGGGCCAGAGCATCAAGTTCATGGCCCACCCCTGCTGCCAGGACTTCCTCACCAACACCTGGAAGGGAAACCTCTCTTCCAAGAACAGCATGTTCAGGGTAACCGCAGCCTCCAATCAGATTTACTTATGGGTCACAAATATCGATTTTTTCCCATTCATAGGGACACTTCGACAAAGTTATCATTTATTTCCAGTATTAGTTCTACAACATACAAGTTCTTAAATTTATTGATAAATATATTCCCCATTTGCTAGTAATTTTGCTTCAGTTTACAGTTTAATTAAGGATTATCATTTTTAAAACACCTCTTGTAGATGATGTTTGGCCTCATTTTTGGCCTCACCATGCCTCTCTTCATTCCAAAAGTTCTTCTTTATGAAACTGAAGAGAAACAGAACGAGAACGGGGAGGTGCGTCCGCTGTCTACCTTATTTCGCTTACTAAACATCAAGGTTATATGTTAACCAATCAGATTCCTTGTTTTCTGGTCGACCGTGTCATGTACCATTTACATGATGCTGTGTATCGATTTTTCCGAGCACAGAAAAACTTTAAAATTTGATCATTTTAGGAGTCAAACGACAGCACAGAACAGAAGGACGAAGATTTGAGTGAGGACATTGAGTCTCGTGTTGCCGTGAAGAGGAGGTACGTGATATTTTGGCGAAAAAATAAACCTAGGAATTGTGGTATTTATTTATTGTCTTGAGAAGAGCATTTATAGGATGAAAACATCTTCTAACATTTTAGAATTCTGCTTAAAAGTGACATCTAGTTTATCTGAGTTGTTAAAGGTGAACTCATTATTGGACGACAACCCCTTTTCCGCAAATTTAATTACCACATTTTGAGAGTCGGATGATTCTGGTTGAGCGTCGTGTCTAGACACCTTTTTCCACCCCTGCAAAGAGAGTTTCATAACATCAGGCGAAGTAAAAAAATCAATAATCCGCATGATCTTTTCAAGTCCTACCAGGTTTTGAAAAAAATCGATTTTTTGTCAATAAAGAGAAATCAATACACCTTTAGTTGTGCATCTAACAGGAAACAGTTTCATATGCTTAGTTTTTGTTCCTCATACTATTGTAAAAAGAATGAAAACTGGAAATACCGGTACTCGAAGTCTGGATGTGTGTTTTCAAATTCATCACTCTAGCATGATTGGTTATCGGAAATATGATAAGTCAGCGATTGGTCCGTTGGATTGATCTTCATTCTTTCCATTTTAGCCTAACCACCAGCATCCAAGTAGGCGCAATGGAATTTTGGACGAAAATAAAAGACTTCTACATGTCGCCGATTGTTCGTTTCGTCTACCACACGGTACGTCTGAAGTTGGCAGAACGCCAATCCCCCCCCCTATACCTGGTCTGGTTGTGCAATTCAGGCTTTGCCTTGTAGATCTCCTACGTCCTCTTCCTTGTCATCTTCAGCTATCTCCTATTGGTCGATTTCAAGGTCAAAATAACCGGAGTTGAGTACATTGTTCTTGCATGGGTAATAACTCTCTTCATCGAAGAAATAAAACAGGTGAGCTCTCGCCGAAATGCACCAATCAGATTTTGTCTCGTTGCATACCAAACCAAATTCGCATCGACTAAAGCAAGCTTGTTCTTGTCTTTTAGATTGCCTGGGTAAGTGGTATTTTCAAAATTTTGTTTTAATGAGTGAACATAAAAGGCGCGTTTTGCAAAACCAAAAAAGACTGCATTAGCTCGGCTACCGAAATTGCGACACCATTAGCTCCTTCAATACTTTGCTCACTCAAACAGTTTGAGCGTAAATTGGTGAGAAGGGTGCTCTACAAAAGTTTAATTAATTGCGTCCTTCACACAAACCGAAAGGCGCACTAAAGGGTTTTATTATTATCATCATCATCAGCAGCAGCAGCAGCAGCAGCAGCGACAGCATTGATTGGGGATATTTACAGACCGGAAAGTGGAGCTGTACTCGTGTTTCCTGGCAGGGTTTGTTATGATTAACCGTGGTGAGAACCAGCAGTCATTGTACACCCCCTCCCTTGTTTCCGGTGTGGGTGTGAATGTTTTTTTTACCAGAGCCCGGAAACACTTAGCCCGGTTGTAATTAGCCAAGCCGCAAATTTAGCTAAATCGTAACTGATTTAAGCGTGACAGATTAGATTGTTTTATGGGGTGTGCGCAATTTGAATTGTCTAAATTCAATTATAATCACTTCATCCTCTTAAGCAATCTGATTGGTTTCAGCATCGATTAAAGGCGCCAATCAGCACTAACTCAGAGCAATTCGAACAAACTGACGTGTTCATTCAAACCAAACAGGACATCTTAATTGACATCTGTCCACTAAACCCCATGGCAGATGTCGTGAGCACTGACACGATGCTATTTTTATCTAATTCACACCCGTCCCACGAAGCCACACAAGCGCACACCAAACGCGCTGTTTTAGTGTGCTTTCAAGCAGGGCGGGATTTTAAATACACGCAGTTTACGAGAAGCAGCGCAAATCCAGCTAGAAAATTAAGCCAATTTTACTTTGCAAATCCGAGGTAAACAGGGTTTGTTGTGGAAGTCAAGCATGCTTCCATTCACCACTCAAGCAAATTAAAGTTGTCGTCAAATTTCTTATTTCAGCCGCCTCTCCTTCGAGTAGTTTTGCGTGGTGGTTGACTAGACGGAGAGTTCAGACATTCCTATGGTTCCAACGTACTAAGTTTTCAAGAAAAATAAAGCCACCAAAGGTGGCAACGACGTCTCTAAAATGCGAACATTTTCTAACCCAAAATGCTACACAACGAACTGAGGCGTAGATTGCCAGTGTCGCCTCTTCTCGATACGTTTTGGCCATTTATCACCTAGGAGATGACAACCGGGGCACACGCGTGCGTGGTCGTTGTGGGGGTTTACAGCGTAACCCACCTAACGCCAGGCCGTCTCATCACCATCACCACCAACTCACCCTTCCCCCCCTCAGCACATCAAAGAACCTGTCTGCTGCCTAGGGGTTTAAACCACGGCGTATACACATAAACACCAAACTCCACACACACACTCTCTGGTGCAATAAAATGCGAGCCGCGCCAAGTGGGCATTCTGGCTTTTGCAGTTCCCGAAAATGTTTAGATGAGCGACGTTGTTATCCCCACTAACTTCCGCTCTGGCGCCAGGTGATATAAGTCATCTAGTAAACATCCTGTGAAAATTTGAGCCTTCGAGGGGGCCAACATGCTTGAAACATATTTGTTTGTTTAAATGAAGACAATATCCACAATGTCTACCTAAATAATTACGACATTTGCCGCATTTCGTAAGAACTGCAACATCCCAAACCAGGTAAAAACAAGACTCAATTTTTTGAGCAAACAACGTGTGTAATTTGTTTAAACTGCGCGTTATCGATTAACCAACGAGTTTTAGCAGCTGCCTTTATTGGTTGACTCGATGACGTAATCAGATTAGCCAATAACAAAAAAATATTGTTGAAATGTTTATTAACTTTCTCATTTTGAGTTAACCAACTTCCAGAGTAAGTTCATTTTTCAAGAAAATTAAATTTTGAGAATTGTCGTTTTGCACAGTCGGTATTATCAGGGATCAGTTTCTCCACCTACATATCAGACGGCTGGAACAAGTTGGACTGTACAGGCCTGATACTCTACATAATCGGGTTTACACTGCGGCTGATAGTTCTGGCACGACTCGGAGATTCACAGATGAACAATGACACCGAGGCATTCCACATCCTCACAGACCCAATAATGGACCCCTCGCGAATATGCATGGCCTTCAGTCTGTTCGTCTTCTACATTCGCCTCATGTACTCCTTCAGCTTCCACATTGCGTTGGGACCCAAACTCATCATGATTGGCAAAATGGTGAGTCAGTAAAGCGGATCTTGTCGGCAACCAATCAGGTGCCTGGCTTTGCCACACCCTTTGCGGTGATTGGCTGTTTGTGGGAGAAATGAATAGACAGCATGACAATT